ATGTATGTATAATATTGTATATTATTTCATACACTCATTTATACTTATATATGTGATATAGAAATTTCGTAAAGTGCTTTGCTTTTTTTTTTTTTTTTTTTTAATACGTGTGAGTTACGAAGAACGTGCAATGTTTATTTTTTTTTTTAATGAGAAGATAAAATTCAATTTTCGAACGATCTACGTTCTAGTATTTGAGTTGCACAAAATTATTATTGACTAGTATCTATTTTTTGTTTTGTTTTGTTATTTGATCATAATTAAGAGTGACGGTGTCTTATATATTATATATACACATGTATACTTCAAACAATATCACGAAACCAGTCTCACCTATCGATTATAAGATCAAATTAAAATTTGTAACAAAACAACGATACAACGAAGAAAATATTTTTAACAAAACGATCCTATAATAATAATTCTCGGTTTTTACGTTGTTAAATGAATATAAATTCAATAAAAAAGTAAGAATTGCACGAAATTTCAAAGATCAAACTTATAAAAACAAAACGTGAAATAATTCACAATGATGTTAAACGATCGACGTTGATTATTTTGGTCTGTCAATTTGATGAAGAAGAAAAAAATGGTGTTAATCAATTTTCGAAAGAATATCCGCTAGGAAGTAAATCGTCGTCAGTTGATGATTTTCTACGTCACTTGCTGTGAACTGTGGTGGTACGTCGTTTGACCTCGACCTGATCTACGATAGCATCGCTTTCTTTATCCTGATGAGCAGTCATGTGCCTGGTCAAATGATGTCTCTCGCGAAAACTTTCATCACAAACCGGACATCTCAATTTTTCTTCCCTCCTTCTACGTGCAGCTTCACCGGAATTTTCGTTTTTGTGATGAGATCTCATGTGATATACCAAATCGGAGGTCATGCGAAACGAAAGATTACACTTTGCACAAACATTTTGCGCGGGTAATGTCAAAGCAGCGAATGACGGTGGTAAAAGGCCAGCGACACCAGCGGCAGTTGCTAAGAACCTTGGCCTTGTCAAAGCATCTGCCATTGGTGGAAAAACGGATATAGGATTGTACGGAAGATTTGGATAAACCGGTGGTAGATCTGGTCGAAAGGTTGCCACTTTTGGGCTTGGAACTTTAGGTGGTTGTGCTATTTGTGGAATTTTCAAATTTTCCAAAAGACTCGGTTGATTGGCCGTCTCGGGACCGACCAAAAATGGATACGTCATTTTACTAGGAAAACTGGCATATTTGTAAGTAGCCGCACTAGCTAATGGAACAACCGGTGGACTAACGCTTTCCTGATAACCTTCCCTTCGATCGTCAGGCGATATTGACGATCTCGGTGACGTTTGTCCGTCATCGGTAAAACCATTTCTTTGAACGCCAAGATGAACCTTAGTGAATGCGCTCCTCGATTCGCCCCCGTGTCTATCAACGGGACACTGCAAGCTGTTATCGTAAACTTTGCCGCAAGTTAAACTAGGATCCAAGGAATCCGTGCATGTACTCAATAAAGCTTGTTGTGTAGTAAATCCAGGTGGACTTGGACTCTTTTGCGATCGGGTTGGAACGTATCTTCGTGAATCGATGTCCGGTAATGTTGGCGTTAATGTTCTCGGTGATACGTAAGGTGGACTGAGAGAATTTTCCGTACAATGCATCAATCTTCTCCTTTCTTGTGAACTAGAATCGCTGTCGTAATGTTTAATAGTCAAATTTTGTGGTAATCTATCATTACCATCCAAAGAATTGTCCAAAGTGATGGACTCTCTCGTACGATCCTTTCTACTAGAAATAAGCCTTAATTTCTCGCTTTGTCTACGGGCAAGATTTTCATCCGGTGCAACGAGAAATGCAACGTCGAACGAACGCTTACTGGCACGTTGAAGCGGATAAGATGCATCCGACGTGACATCACTTATCATTGACGGACTATTAGATGTCAAAAGTGCCGTTGTCGCCGTAGTCGATGACGCGGGGGCGGCACGGTCGATGCCACCCGTGCGATCTTCCATTGTCATCCTGCTCGCTCCGTATGATCAACCTGCGAGAATTTGCCGTCAATGAGGCATTACATAAATGATTGATCGGGTGTCGAATTAGATCGAAACGTGCATGCATTTACATATCATGAATCGCGAACTAACAACTCATACTCTAAGCAAGATAATTTCAATCTCGTTGTAATGAGGAAAATCAAAACAAAGATATTTAATTTTACTTGAAAAGAAATGAATATGATAATAATAATAATCAAAAATAATATAACACGACACTTACCGGAGCACGTGTTAAGCGCAACTCTTTGATTCGTTGACAATTTATGATAACACGACGACTTTATCTTCTCCTTTTTCTTCTTATTTAAAAAGAAAAAAACACGTATTAATTCAATACAGATATAATTAATAATAACACTAATAATAATAAAAGAAACACAAAGAAGTCCTAAGAGATCCGAGGCTTGAGGATTCGAATCAACGCACTGATTCCTTTTAGAATCCGGAGAACACTGTGTGGTGGACGCGCGTTTCGGCGTTGCCGAGGATAAAATGAGGGAACTGTTCGCGCATCCCCCGTATTTAGGGGTTGCTTCGTGTAGGGTAGCAGGACGGCAGGTGGAGACGACCGAGGGTGGTACCGGCCAATCGCGAATCGTCGACTACTATTCGAGGGTGGAGCGTAGCAAAGGGGGTGAACATATTCGGTCGTCGGGACGCGTCTGTTAGTCCCATCTAGACCACGCCTACATATTTCAGGTTCGACACATGTGCCCGGGATCGCCCGTCGACGTCGACGGCTCCTTTTTCCTCCCACTCATCCCCCAGACCCATATACCTATCTACAAAACCCCCAGCCCCCACCCCCACCCACCGTTTCTCTTTTATTCTCGTTCACACGCGTTGCGCAATCCTCTCATCTCCAAAGAATTCTGGTTACGGTGACGATGGTGGTGGTGGTGGTGGTGATGGTGATGGTGATGGTGGTGGTAGTGCCGATCGCGTGAACAACGCTCGCGAGGGTTGATGTTTTATGTTGTAATACTGTCTGACGAACGATCTTGAATATTTTTAACGCCAGTTCGTTGGCCCTTTCGTTTCCTCTCCCTTTTTCTTTCTTTCTTTCTTTTATTCTATTTTTTTTTTCTTTTTATTTTATAGCCGACCTAATCGATTTTGATTTTTTTGAATAGATTTATTTTTTTCTACATCAATGATTATAATCTTTATTTCTAAATAATAATATTATCAATATTTAACTATACGTTCATTTTTATATATATATACTTATAAATTTACGGGAAGGGTATAATCGATTATTCAACACGGAACGATGAAAGCTAAAAGATAAATTTGTATCGATCCTTTCGGAATCAGCACTTTCTGCAAGCTGTGGAACGATACCCAGTTCTGCTGACACACCTGTTTCGTTTTGAAACCTGTTCTCGTTTCCGAGAGGATGAGAGGATAAAGTATTCCATCGAGTATTGTCTGTGACTTCGGTGACGATAAATTATAGGAGTATACAAATTTATACACGTTTTATAGGATCGTTCGATCACGATCTAATCATCAACGGACAAACGTTATATATTTCTCTCTCTCTCTCTCTCTCTCTCTCTTGTTTCATCTCGTACTATAGATCTTCATTCGTGGTCATTGGCCGAAACGAACGACTCGTTGACAAAGAGAAATGAGGCGCGTTAAATCGACTGCGTTAGACAGAAGGTAACACCGAACTCCGTTAAGGGATCATCTCGTTTCGAGGATTATCTTCCTGACGAATTATCTCCGTTTCTCGTCGCTTCGATACACGTCTCTCGATCCTAACTAAATGACATACGATAGTTGCCAAACCTATGAACAAAATCTTATAAATAGATACTAGATATAACGTTAGTTAATCGTCCTGAAATATCGAATAAAAGAAATGAACGAATAAAAAAAAAAAAAAGAAAAGAAAAAGAAAAAAAAGGCAAACAAACAAACAAAGAAAATAAAAAAAAAAATAAATAAATATCTGTAGTATCTTCGAGAAAAGCAATAGGCGATCAATCATAAACTAGTAATCTATTTTATCGTGCATGTGAGAGATGTCGGATTTTTACGTTATACCAGTGATTCCAGTCAAATCTACGGGGAATATCTGGAAAGGTTAAAGGACATTAACTTCTTGATTGAGTCGGCAAAAAGTTGTAATGACTTTTCGATTGAGATACCTCCCCCCCACCATCATACCTTTCACCCAACAAACCTTACTCGAAGATTTTTCTCCATTTCTTCGCGTATCTTCTTCTTCTTCTGATCGAAATTCTTCTCAGACTTTTTTTTTATCAAGTGTGTGTAGATTCATTTTCTATTTCTTATCTATAAACGTAAGTATATAGTTGAAATCAAAGAATGATTTCAACATACACATACACATATGATTTGATGATAACTTTAATACTAGCAATCGGATTTAATCCTAATTGAGAGTCGTAAAGTTGGAAAAGTCGTAACGACGACGTTACGTGTGACACGCGTCGCACGGTAGGGAGTCGTGAAGCTCTTTTATATCTTGCCAGAACCATTCCTGGATTATATAGACCATATTTATTGCCAATCGTACTGACACGCTCCTCTCAAGTCAAAAACGACGACATACTTATTCTTCCTTTCCATTTTATATACTATTTTTCCTAGGCTTCTTCACGTATCATTTTTTTAAAGATAAATATATATTTTTAATTTTTAATTAAAAAAAAATAGAAGTTGTCAACTTTCTATTAACCCTCTGCCAGCAAACACATGGTGGATTTTACTTACAACTTCAATTTAAAAATAAACGATACCGATATAGGGGTTAATAATAAAAAATTAATATAATAAATTAATAATAATAAATAATATATAATATTAATAATAAATATTAAAAGAACAAAAAAAATCATAGAAAATATAATTTATAAAAAAAAAAATGTTTTCCCTGATACATGAAAAAATGAACAAGTTTTTAATTAATACGACAACATTAATTCAAAATGATAATCACAATTATTATGAAGATTTATCGATCATAGGTAATAGTACAGGTTCACTAAATGATCCAAGTTAAACTTACGATTGTCACACGCTAACTCATGACACGTGTCAGACACGTGGAAGCTGTTAACACTGACATCGAACACAGGGAAGATCAGAGAGTTCAGTGCAGGGAAAGGGGGACACCTTGCATCATGGCAAAGTGTTTCAGTTTGGTCAAATCGATCGTAATGCAATTGAATATATTTCTAGAAAAATTATAGTCCCTTTCTTATTGGATAAGATAAGTCATAAATATCAGGATAGATATAATTACAAAAATATAGACTGTAAGAGAAACTACTCATTCGATTTTTATTATCTTAATTCACGGATTCATATCTAATAAATTTATCGAAAGAGTATCGATAATGACGTAGTCGTAACGTCTCGAAATAAAAACTAAAGTAGAAAATAGTTCGGTTAGTTCATTTTTAAAAATTAATCACGTTACGACCATTCGTTTTCCATTTGATCGTCATTTATAAAAACTGAACGATTGAATATTCGATTTTAACACGCAGACGCATGAATTAATTTAGCGTTTTTCTCTCGATCTTTCCTTCCAAACGAGAAGACGTTATCTCGAGTTTGCCAACGTTTTTCGCTTTGCTGGCAGAAGTTATGGAAAAGCGGGCTCGGGCATTCGTAGAAGTTAAGTTACCGAGTTCGGTGATAAATATGCGGCGACTCGATGAAGAACCGATGAAGAGAGCTCGTTTATCAATCAACCATTAACACGATTTCTTTCACTTAAACCTTCCAACTTTCTTTTATCTTATACCATCCTTTCTTTCTAAAAAGCTTTAACAGTTTCATCGAAAATCTGCTCGTTCTTGCTCAAACCATATTTCACTTGAAATCATTTGAAATCAATTTTTTCATCCCCTTCAAATTAAAGAATAAAATTTAAGGATATAAATATTATATTTTAACAAGAAGAATAAAAGAGAAAAAGAGAATGTTGAAAGAAATTTTCAAAAGCTAGAGAACAACCCCTTGTCTCTTACCAAGTCTCTGATAAATTGAATGTGTAACGAGTTCGGAGGATTCCTAAAATAACCGAGGTAGCAGCATGGTGTGCGGCCTCGTTCTACGGCTAAGAGGGCAGAACGTAGATCTCTTCAGATGAGTGCAGACGATTTAGATTTTACGGACGTGCGAGCAATTCCTTGACTTATTACTGAGGTCATGCATATAAAGTGGACCTCTGTTTCTTGAAATTTACTCACCGAGAGACGTTTAAGTGTCAAAAGATTTCTTATACCTTTAACATTTGATTATTTCTTTTTACGAATGAACAAAAAAGAAAAATCACAAAATCTAAATTCATCGACAATGTTGTTGTTACGAACAATTAGGATAATTATTATCATTATTATCATCATCGAAATCGCTAACTTAAACTTCTCTAATCGAATAACAGTTAGATAAACTCGACCCTTTGGAACTGGCGCGAAATTTGAATTCAAGATGTATACCGGTGTGCCTTTGCACCGTTGCAGAAGTTTGTTCCCCGTCTCCTCGTGTTGATATCGTTCCCAGTGATATCATGAGAAGAACAGATAGAGAGAAAGAGAAAGAGAAAGAGAGAGAGAGAGAGAGAGGTTGTGTGCACGCCGTCGGGAATTTAATTCGAAGTGCCGCTAAGATGCCACCTTTGGCTCTTATCTCTGTGCACACGGTGGGCTGCTCGCGTGGCGTTGCTTATGTGTTACGTGAATACCTTACCTAAACGCCAAGTAGAAACGTTTCTGCGTACGGTCGTCCTACCAACGTGACTACCACTACCAACCAACACACTATCATTGTCAGAAATACCAAGAAAGTGTAAGAGGAAGAGAGAGAGAGAGAGAGAGAGAGAGAGAGAAAGAGGTAGAAGAGTAAAACTAAAGCTTCGCGAGTAAAGGACATTCACAAAATGTAGACAGAGAACGAAGGAATAACAGAGGAACAAG